TCCAATTGTCATCCATTCCGTTTGAAGTGTCGCACAATTTTATTTCCATTTCGCCATCCACTGGCCTTTTTTCGTTGCCCGAAACGATTAGCAGCCACTTAGAGCAGTTAAGAGCCCCATTGAGTTTATTAAATCAGGCGTAATAATTGGCACACACACACAATGAACTGCGCGCCAGGCGAAAAGGGAAATCGAGTAGAATAGACAGTCGAATGGCGGAATCAATGTATCGAACATCTATATCGATTCCCAGGCAGGCACTGCCTTCCCCGTCAGATCGCGTTTCCACTCGCACAAAAACACACTTTTCGTTTCAATAGGAAAACAAATTCAAAACAGACTAAATTTCGGGCACCTTCAGCATGGCAGACATGGAGGAATACAACCATCCATTGGCAAAAATAACCTCTGTATCCGAGGAACTGGGTGAGGACTATTAAATTGCTATATTATTCAAAAGGGTTTCACGGGATTAGATGGCTTTCAATGAAAAATAGGTGATAATATTGTTAAATTATAACATTAGTAACATAGCATCAAAGAAATCCTGCTTTGCTGGATTACAAATATTCCATGTGATTAAAAGATCAATCAAGATAGGGTTCAATTCATCGTAGATAGAAACTATTATCAATATTTTCTTTTTGTTTTTTGAAGCAAGCCCTTTTAAGTACCCAAAATATTCCATTTCAGAAAGAACTCATCTGGCCCGCGTGCCGCAGGTCCTGCAGCGATTGGAGGACATCCGGGAGCCGGAGGACGAAATGCTGCTAGCTGAAGGCAGTCGACTGGGGAAAAAACTCATTTTGGAGGACTACTAGGAATCGTCGAAATTTTCACGTCACAAACGTAACGAGTGACACCTGCCCGAGGTGCCAAGGAGCCAAGGAGCCATGAAACGAAGGTGTTGGCCTGGCAATTAATGACTGGCTGAACTTTTCACATTCACATGCTCGAGCTGGGCAAACAAAGCTGAGGGCGACAACAGGAGCACGCAAGCCCAAGGACTCGGGCTGAAAAGCACACAAACAAATTGTGACAAAGTTGCGGAAATTTAATTAAAATCAAATACTGTAGAAGCGGCTAAGCAAAAGGGGTAGCGAATTGGCAGTCAGGTGTGACCCGATATAGTTGGTAACACGCTTCCAACTTGCTTCGAATGTCGCTAGTTTTCCGCGTCGCTTAATAAACAAAATGTAAACAATGTTTAACAGCAATGACACACATGGGTCCACCACCCCCTGGTACTCTCGTGGTTGTTCTTGTTGTTGCTATTGCCTTTTCCATTGCCTTTTTATTAATATAATTTATGAGCCTGTGGTCGTGAGCGGGAAACGCCAGCGGCAAGGTGGAAATGCAAGCAATCCGATTGCCAGCAGCTGGCTAATTTCACAGCGCACACATTTGATTAACTTAATTTAATAGTATTCCTTTTTCCGACGTTATCCGAGCTCTGGGCTCGTTTTGATATATTTGTTTGTTTATTTAATTTATTATTATAGTTACGACTATGCGCTCTGGTTAACAGCTATAAATGCGATTATATAGCTATCGATCATTTCGGCTCGTTGGGTTTTTCTTTTCAATTTCTATGTTATTTCATTATTAGTTTTCGACTGTAACTTAATCGAACTTGTTTGCCTTTTTAAATAACTGTGTAATGTACAATGGTTAAAATAAAATGGTGACTTGCCGGAGCACAAAGTACTGGGCATACAACTGTCACAACAATTGGTCGAGGTAGACCATTGGCTAATGAGGACACAATTGGCTGCCGGACTCAAACCAGCTGTCTCTATAAGGCGACTTCTACCTGAACTGCCCAGAGTTCGCATCAGACAAATCGGGCATGAAACCATTATGGCTAGAATCGGCAAACAAAAACCACGGGGCACTGCTCTTTCTTTAATCGCGGCCAAAGAGACGAGTCGTTTGCCAGCGATTGGCAGTCGATAAAATTAGGCACAGCTTAGCCACATTTGGAAGTCAGCAGGCCGGAATCCTCGGCAGAATGTGCTCACCTTTCTGAGGAGTCTCAGCTGGAAAGATGTTGGGTCGGCTCGCTTTGAAATACTTAGCTGGAGCGGGAGCAGTTGACACAAAAGTATCGGGTTTCCCAGTTGTCGCCAGCATACTTAGTATCCTTAATATCCTGTCGGAAATGTTTTCGTTCGCAATTGCATGTTGCGGTGTGTTGGCAATTTATACATAGTTTGTTTTCCCTTCGATTTTTGAAAGATTTTTAAAAGGAAGATCGCCGATCGACGGACACTTGATACTTCCCAGACAATTTGTCGGTACACGTCCTCTTAAGTGGTCACAAATTACAGCAATTAGACAGCGCCCTTGTGTCCTTTTTTGTGCGGCATTTGGCAGTAAATGCCATGAAAATGGCGCTCATTAGGCATATACCTTGTGCAATCTTCCCACCCACAGAAAGCCAGACAATCTGCGTAATTACTTCGCTGACAACTTTTGATGAATTAAATGCGAAATAAATTTTTTAAGTGCGCGTAACGAGCATTCCGAATGCTGTGCCAAATGAAATGAAAATACGGCGGCAAACAGGACGAACAGGACGCACAGGACGAACAGAGCGAATGCTGCGATTCTCCGCAGCGAGGTGAATTCTTTCTTAAGCGTCTGTTGAGCGGATTTAACTTGTTTAATTACCGCTGTATTCACTGCATCATCAACTGTCGCTCATTACGCCGGGATTTCATACTTATATACACGTATAATGTATATATATCCCCTATATATATTTACTTATATGTAAACACGGGTCGGAAATGCTGGCAGTTTTTCAAGAGCACCGCCCACCGTCAGCATCTCATATCGCGTCCACTTGCTTTCGGTTTTGCGTAACTGTTACCATTTTAATGCGCTCGAGTGTCGAGGACGAAATTGATTTTCGTTTACCATTGTGTTGGGCATTTTGAAGAGCATTTGGGCATCGTAAAGCATCGTAAAAAATTTGTGCCAACACAAGGTGAAATTGCACTGAGCCGAGCGCAAATAAAATGGAGGGATTGGAGGGCTGGGTCCTCGACACTCAATTTCGTAGAGCCACAAATGCGAAACTCGAAGGGCCACTTGATAAATTTCATATATTTATAGCCCGCAGAGTGATGCGCTGCATTTGCACACTGAATGAAATTCCATGGGCACACACACATACACACACACACACACACATGCGCACACACAAGGACATTTTGGGTGGCCCGAATCGTCGATGGGCGGCTTACCCCGCCCACTTTTTTGCCACCCACCACTGCTTCTTGGCCAAACACTTGCACAAATAAAAGATCTACTTCAACTTATTGAATTTTCGTTGATAGAAACAAGATGAAAGGCGACTGCAAGTACTGTGCCAATTGAATACTCTTCTGCGTATTCATTTTTAAGTATTTACATGTTGTATAAGCGCCTTGCTGTTGATCATTATAGTTAATGTTGAAAAGCAAATCGGTAAAATGGATACAGTCTTTGAAACAGAATGTAAATTGGTGTATCGCACCAAGAACATATATAAATACCTTAAGTCCCCATATTTTACAGACACATGCGATTGTGTTTAACCACTACTCCTATATTAAAGTTTTAATATTTTTGAAAAATCATTATATATTGATCGCCGTTTTGGACTCAGATGGGTAAGGGTATGACTATCCCGGCAGGACCTTCCATTCGCCGGATGTCTTCTGCTACCTTGTACACAAAGGACGGCCACAAAAGGCAATTGCATATGAGTTTTATGAGAGCTTCTTTTGACGTCGTCGTGCTGACTGGTCCTGGGTGCCTCGTCCTTTTGGGCATATCCTTTTGACTGCGACAAATCCGTTAAGTCGCGCATTTCGCTCATTATTATTTGTGCAGGGAATTTGGCTCTGACCTCGCCCATGCCCAAAACACTGAGAGTGGTAAGTGTAATCAAATTGCAACCCGAATGCGAATCCGAATCTCAGTGCGAATCTAGACAGAACCGAAACAGGATGAACAGGAACTTGACGGCGTTTTATTATTAAATTTGAGGCCATCGCGCACACAATGCGATATCCTGCAGCGAGGACGAGCGCTGTGCGAAATTATTAAAAAGTAATTATGGCACAAATTACGAGATATCAATATAGCATTTAGCTCTGCATGCGGCCTCGAATGAAAGGACTTGGTCTGGTTCCTGTGCAGCCACCACCACTTGAGTTCGGTGCAAATCCTTCGGCTCACACATCCAGCCCATAGAACTGCATTTCCTCTACGGCTGTCTGGCACAATGCGATAGATTCCTTCTGGATTCCCATTGTTTTCCGGCTCCTTGGGCTCCTGAGCTCCTTGGGCTGCTGCTCTTCACATGTTATGCAACATTTCCTGCGCTCGGCAATTTGACATAATATCGAGATTATTATACGATTTGAACTCTGGCCCTTTCCATTGTCGGGGTAGGTCGTCGAATATGCCCGATATTCGGCCCAAGATCGCTTTCATTTGACTCTGGCAAAAGGAAAGGTCGAGTCGAGTTTGTACACAATTAATTGTAGCATTTGAGCGATTTATAATGGGACTTTGTAGGGTCATAAGCCCTACTTAAGGTACACAACTTTCAGCGATTAATTTGCAGCGCGGCGGGGAGAGCGGTGTATGTTGTGGAAAATTATAAAGGTGCTTCGGTTAACGGAAGTTAACCTGGAGATTAGTTTTGGCATTGAACATCAAAATATTGCAAACAAGGCAAGGACTGTACTTAAGAAACGCAAACCTAAGATCTCTGAAGTGAGATCTTAATAATAAACTAATAAAAACGTATCCTTCAAAACTTTGCGACACTTTAACTATTTATGTAGTTCTATTTGGAGCAGAAGTTATTAATACCATATTCTTCCATTTAGAATATGTTCTGTTAAATTTAGCCATGTTCCATCCACTTATTGAATCATTGATCATTCACTTGAAAGTGTTCATATCCGCTACTTAACCCACCAACACAATGCAAACCAATTTCTTTTCATATCGTTTATTTCTCGACAGTTTTCCTTAGTGGATAGACTACCATTATGCACGCCCAAAGGCCGCTTACAGATAGATAATTCTTTAGGTGTTACAACTACGTTAACTTTGGCAATAGACAAAGCTGCAGATATCTTACAGTGCAGGGCTATGTGACCATGAATAAAACTAGAAGTATCTACAAGTACATAAGTGTATCTATATATGTACATAACGAATCCAAATATCACGGAACAGCGTTCAGTCCTCGCCCTTGGTGACCACGGAAACGGGAGTGGAGGCGTTGCTGCTGGCTCCTGCCGCGCTGCTGGGCGATTGGGCGGCCGTCGAGATCAGTCCGCCCGCGAGCAGTCCACCGCCCCCGCTGCCGGCCGCTGGGGGCGTGGCATGGGGCGGCGTGGGATGAGGCACTAGCTTGGGACTCTCGCGCGGACTGCTGTTGCTGCAGGGCGGGCTCACCTGGCTCATCGCGGAGAGTCCGGCGTGCAGCGAAAGGTTCTGCGGATAGCCGGCGGATGCTGCCGCCGCCGCTGCAGCTGCGCCCGCTCCAAAGATCCCGTTCAGATTGCTCAGGCCCATGTACTGGGAGAGCAGGGTGTGGAAGTTGGGCAGCTTGTAGTGGGGCGCCATCAGGTGCTGGGGCAGCAAGCCGGCGGCAGCGGCTGCAGCGGGATTAAAGTGCTGGTGGAGGGCAAAGTGCGGGGGCCAGAACTCCGACTGCATCGAGCCCGGATGACCCGGAAGTCCATGTGGCGGCAGGGGAATGCCCAGCGGAAACTCTGGCAGACCTGAAAGCGGAAGGCAAAGGGCGATTTCGTTAGTCGCAAGTCTGAGAGAGAGGGTGGTGGTGGTGGTGTTGGCGACACAAGCGACATAATTCCTAATTATGTTGCACACGTAATTTGGCAATTTGCGGACAAATCAAATGCGTATCGCTGGGCGGGTGGTGGCTGGGTTTTGATGGGGTGGACTCGTGAGATGGGGTGGTTAACTCACCTTGTTCGGGCAGAAGGTAGCCGGCCTTGTCCTGATTCATAAACTTCTCACGTTTGCGCCATTTAGCCCGACGGTTCTGGAACCACACCTGCAAGTGCACGAAAAGAAGGGAGTTTAGAGATGGAGTTGTAGGTATGCAAATTTGGTGCCCTCGAATCTGGGGTATCATAAGCTAGCCCTTGGATAGCGTTATCTAAGATATTAGATATAGCAGAAATAGCATCTAGAGAGGAATTTCCTTTTATGACCTGATTTTTGAGTTAAAATGTAGATTAGTTTCCAAGCACCCCAACTTTTCTAAAGGGTAACACTCCATCTAAACTTGATTAGTTCTACCAAACTAGCGCCTTGGCAAGCGACTTGTAATTGCTTTGACTTTGACCAAAACCCGAACAATTTCCCAATCTATCAATCTGTGAGTTCGGAAAGTTGGAAGCACTTGGTCCTTGGATGGCTCCTTCTGCCTCCTCCAGCCTCGAGTGTCTGAGCCAAAGGACTTGAGCGTCGAGGAGGGGGAGGTCAAATACAATGGCATCCAATCGGAAGTGTTCTGCTCTGATTTGCAACGCTCTCTGTCTGTCTGTCTCTCTGTCTCACTCTTCGGGCAAAAGGGTGTCTTATGCATTTTTCGACACTTACTTGGGTTTGGGGTGGACCAAACTGCCAGCCACCCAAATGTCACCCCTATGCAAATTTGCCCCCTAGGCGAAACGCAAAATAGGCGTTGGCTGCACATACATTTCCGCCTTTTTGGGGCGATGAATTTTCCGTCCGAGCCGAGGCTCTCGTTTTTGATGGCAAAATTAATTGTTTGTAAATTGAAATCACTTGACAACTGTCTGTACCGAGCACAGATGAATTCGAGACAATAGAGGAGGCTCTGCAATTATAGACACCCTGTATTTAGATGAAACCCCCTTCTTTCAGCCGCCCAGAATCTGCAACAATGTGTGCAGTTGAGCGAGTAGTAAATTAGCAACGATTTCCTTGCTATAATTGCTGCCAATTATTGTCCTGTGTCCTGTGTCCTGTGTGTGTCTGCTGGGAAAATGCCACCAGCCACACGCCACCCGCCGCCCACCGCCCCATTCCCCTTTAAGTGCTGTGTGTGTGTGCGATTTTGTGGGCTTTTTAATTGTCAGTTGGCAGCAATTATTATGGCAACAACTTAAACCACTGTGCCAGAGCAGCCAGGCAGTAAAAGTTGAATTGCGGATATCCGTTCAGCATTTATCACACATGTGCGATCAAAACGAGAGAAGAAACGGTCGCAAAACTGTTTCTAAACTCAAAAATGATGTACCTTAAAAAATTGTGTGAGCAGATGTCTCATCATTATTTTGGAGTATCAGAAATGGAATTTGCTGTTGTTCGTTCAGATTAATAGGGATTGCAAACCTTTGCAAATTCATACAAATTCGCGTTGGATATTTGAATGTGATACCCCAACTCGACAATACAAATTTGACTTAAACCGGGAGTTAAGTCGCTGGTTACTCCTTTTTTCAAAATGCCCCACACAGCGTGCATGCAAATCCGAAAATAATTGCCCACTTACCAACCCCAAAACGAGCGGGGATTACGCATTGGATACTTTGTATCTATCACTAGCTCAGCAAAAAAAAACAAAAAAACCAAAAAAACGTATTGCAATCGGGCAGCTCTAAGTCGGTTACTATTCAAGTACCCGAAACGCTCTGCATATGCGAATCAATGACCAATTACAGTTAATCTGCTAACAGATACGAATAAGTGCAAGGACGCGCAGGATGAGGATGCGGATATGCGGATGTGAGGATGCGGATGACGACCGTGAAACGGACAATTTGTATTCGAAGCGGGTAATCCCTATGTGAGTGCTTAGGTCAAGTTGTTTCACATTCACATTCTCTTCACATTTTTTTTATTTTCTGTACCAGGCGATACTTTTCCCTCTTTTTTGCTGTCAGCAAACAGCATCGAAATTGAGCGAAGCGCTCAATCAGATGTGAAGTGTTTGAAAGCGTTTCACAACTGAAATCAAATCGTATGCGATTCGGAGCGAAAGGACACCCTAATTACATGTGTAGTCGGGTGTATTTAGCCGCGTGTCCTGCCGACAGCCAGCACCCAAAGCCACTTTAATTGTTTACCCGAAAGTAGAGTTAATAAAAATACCAACACCATGTGAGCGCGGCCAATTTAATCATTTGGAAAATCACAATATCTAATGTCCTTGGGCCAACCCCTATGAAAAAGGACCGTCACCCGTATTCAACCCTCCTCCGACTAGATCTAAGCGTGTTTGTATACAAAGTGGGGCTTAAGTGTTTCAAAGACCATTTACAAATTGGGTTCGGCGATTGTTTCGCCAGTTCTTATCTAGCCATTCAAGTTCCCATACCCTGAAAGTGGTTTATTCGCTTATTAGCGAACGCTGCGATGGCAATATTTAAACGTGGAATTCGTTAGATGGCAGATACAGATACATTGGCGCACTGGAGTTGAACTTAATTCGAAAATAATTGCGTGAATCGAAGACCAATTTCAATTACCTGCACGCGTGCTTCGCTCAAATCCAATCGCATGGCCAGATCCTCCCTTGTGAACACATCGGGATACTGGGTCTTCTCGAAGGCTCGCTCCAGCTGATGCAATTGAAATGTTGTAAATGTTGTGCGAGATCTGTGAAAAATCAGTGGAAAGGCAAGGGCGGCACGTTAGATGGTTGCGATGCCATAGGATGGATGGATAAGAGTTTCCCCTTTGTTGGCATGTTTTTTAATAGCCCGACAATGGGTAAACACGATTTGATCTGCTAAGCGGATTGTCGCTGCACTCACCTTCGAACTTTTCGCGGCCTCTCCATATCGCTGAGATCATGGCCATTGTTCAGACTGGAGGACAGCTCGTCGTCGTTATCCACGTCCAGGCCGCCGTCCGTATTCGTTGGGGAGTCCTCTCGCTTGGCCTGAACCTGCAATTGTTGCTGCTGCTGCGAGTGGTGTTGCTGTTGCGAGTGGTGCTGCTGCTGCTGCTGCTGAAGCTGCTGCTGCTGCTGATGCGACAAGTGATTGCTGCCGCTGCTGTTGCTGTTGCTGCTGTGCAAATGATGGATGTGATGCGGATGACCGTGGTGGGGATGCGTAATCAGCACTTCGCTGGGAGTATCTGCGGCAAAAGTGGCAGGGAAATAAAGTTAAACAATTTCGAATTGAACTCGAGAGTGGGGAAACAAAAAAGTTTCGCGTTTGACTTCGAGCATCGAAAGCCAAACGGCAGCTGCTGAAATTGAGGTTCATTCAATTGTGGCTGAAGTAGTTATATCCTGAATTTTAACCCCCTTTTTTTGTATGGCAGCCTCGAACAAAATTCAAATCCCTCAAGTGCTCGAAAGCTACGCAAATTGATTTGGCAATCAATAACAAATAAATATAAAGCCAGAATAAGTTTTACCCCCTACTCCCTACTCCCAGCACCGGCCATATAAATATCCTTTCACACGAAACATCAAGGAAAATGATTTTGTGAATACCCAAAACGGTTTCTTTTCGAGCCCAGCCAGAACGTGTAATCAAACTTTAATGAACCTCAAATTAATCGGATTCACAATGGCACCAGGACACGTCCCCGCTCAGCAGGACGCCCGTGTCCTGGTTGTATCCTTATCGTATTTCGTAACATTTACGCAGCCCCTTGTGGCAAGAAGGTAATTTCCAGCGAGCATCAAATTACGAGGCTCACAGGATGCAGTGTCCTGCGGTGCGCACGCCGCTCGTTGTCGCCAAATTGCAACCTGGACCAATGGGTGCCGTGATTCCAGTGAGTCCTGCCAGGCAATTTCGAGCCTCCACCCTCCACCTCTCTTCCTCCGAGGACTTCAATCTAATTACGGGTCTAATGACGCAATTGCTCTTCCCCGCTCTCCATGCAATATATCCGGCCAGATATGTTTTGATACAGTGTTTTTTTTATTCTCGAGCAGATCCTTGGGCGAACTGCCTCCTGCAGCTTGGCCACGCCCACAACAAGAGTTCCGACATGCCGAACACCTCCCATTGTCATGATATGTTTTCTTTTTGCTCTCTGGGTGGAGTCCGTGTTCGGTGTTTGCCGGAAAGTTTTGCCCTGCCCTCACTTGCCAACTATGATAAAATGTCCCTTGCGAGCAATTTGCATATGATATGGATGGCAATGTCATTCTACCTCTCCACTGCTCCGGCTCCTTTGCGAAAGGACCTTTTTGATGTGGTCAGTGGAGCAGGAGGGGTCGGCTTTTGGAGCACCAAATTGGGGGAGCTCATTGGCTTTGCATAAAGTCTAACGTGATATTTTCCCAGCTGGTGGTAAGTTGTACCGTTTTCAGGATGTTTTCATTACGTTTAAGATGTGCGTGATGAATGTTTAAAAGCTATAATTAAGAAGATATTCTGACTAAATAACTCTAATCTATTCAAATTTATAAGTATCCCACTTTATTTACACACACTTAAGAACGGAACACTATACTTTATACACTTGTATACTATCTTTGTGTGTTCTTTAAGCCTCAGTAGAAACTTTATGCCAAATGTATCTTGGAAGTGTTTCCATTCAAGCTTTAAATGTGATACGTTTAGAAAGCTATTGCAGATCGCCGACGGCAATCGATGACTTTTGTAAAAAGAAACCTACTACTTTTACAATCCGGTGGGCTATCCCCAATTTATATTTTGAACTATGAACTCACCACTGCGCTTGATCTGGTGCTGATTTCCCAGGATCTGATCGATGCTGTAGACGGCGCGGGGGCGTGAGACAGGACTCTCCTGAACGGGGGCGGGGCGCATGGCTGGCGGCATGATTGGGTGGTGCTGGTGGTGCTGCGAGGTCGTCGTGGTCATCATAGCTCCACCGGGAGAGCTGCTCGCGAACCGTGCGGATTTCAGATGGTTTACTTCACTTGCTCGGCGCTGATATTCTTTTTTTTTCTGCGATGTTACAGATTTTCGGTTTGGCAACTTTTGTTTATTGTCACAATGTTAAATGAGCACGCTTTGAAATTGGCTTAATTAATTAATTATCGGGTAAATTAGTCGATTAGACGATTTGAATTTGATTCGCAACTCACAGCCCCTGCGACGAACTACAATGAGCTGAATCGAGTGAATTAAGTGCGAGTAGTGTTCGTGACGATCAACAACCACCGACTGAGTGCGATTCCTGCGGCCCGTAGGTTTAAATACGTTGCCTGTTTTCCGCTTGCAAGTGAAATGGGCGAGGCTCGCTCTCGAATCCGAATCCGAGTCCCAGTTCCAATCCTTCGCTTTCGCCCATGTCCTGCCATGCCAGCCGTCTCTTTCCCTCGCGCACTCTCTCTCCCTCTCGCGCTTGCTGTAGGGGTAGTTTCCCCCTGTATCTCAGTGTCTCAGTGCCGTGTATCTGTGTGTTGGGTTGGCTCGTTTGGTGTGCGTGAGTTTGGGTTGCAGGTAGCTTTTTGTTTCGGCTTAGGGGTGTTGGCCTCCCTCTCTCTTCCTCTCTCTCTCTCTCTCTCTCTTATCAAATCTCTCTAGTGCTTTCCCTTGACACCTTACTCTTTCATACCCTTTCGTACAATCTCTTTCGGTAGTTGTAACTAACATGGTTTGCTCATTAATTGTGTTTATTTCACAAATTTCGCTTGTTAAAAACTATTTCGCCCACCCCTCTCACTCTATATATATATATCTCTCTCTCTCAGTATATTTCTCTCCCTCCCGTTTCCCGGCTCATCCACAAATCACAAAACAGGTTGAACCACTCGCCGGATTGCCAGCCTGGTACCTGAATCAAGTCGGCCATTTGCCAGGACCTCTTTTATTAGTTCCGCTTCCCTCTCGGCGATAGATTTACGGCTAGGATCCCCGCGATCTTGAGAATGAGCCCGTGGTTTCATTGAACAAGCCAAACGATCAATGAATCCCTTTACTTAGCAAGGAGTTGTGGCCGGATCCGACCCTAAGTTCATTGATTAAACTGATCTCATCTCGCAGGATCTCAGCCGTATTGAATTTCGTTAACAGGTACAGTGCGGAACTGATTTCACTAATGAGTATTGAACTTATTATTGCAAAGAATAACTAATATATATATAATGTTATCTGCAGAATTCGAAAATATAGTATGTTCACTCAACTAGTATTAGTAGTGAAGCTACGTCCCATTTTCTGTATGCTCCCTTTTAGTGATGAAAATGTAATGTTGTAAATAATACTAGCCAAAAGGGATCTATAATATGTAGGGCCCGGTTTTGCTACGATTAAATAAGCGATAGCCTAAATAGCTCAGCCTTGTTTAAATCACCCACTTAGATCTGGGATTTGTGTTGAGCTTCAGTTCAGACAGGGCTCTGCATCCAAGATTTAGGCTAGAACCCTGGTCCACCCACAGGTTGCATAACAAAGGGCTGCCAAAAATGGCCAAAAGTGGTTCCCGAAAAAACCATCTAATGCCCGAAGGATATGTGGTGAGCTAAAACGCCGGCTTCTATAATAACAAAGCAGGGACAGGGATTTATCTTCTCTAATTTGTCGAAACTTACACAATTCCTTTGTGCCCCGAACCCAAACAAAGCCAAGGATCGCGGCACCTTCAGCCGGGAAAATCGGGAAAAGTGCACACGTAATTTCCGCGAAAACTGTGAACAAGTAAGCGGACAAATCGTTGACCGGACTCATTAATGTGCCAGATGTATGACGCCACAGGACACTGGACTCAACAGCACGCAGGACGCAGGACACAGGATTAGGGTTAGTCTGCCGAGGCTTAATCATATTTTCATAGGACATGTTCCCCATGCAGATTTCATTCAGAAATCCGATTGCATGTTCGTTTAATTTAGAGCTGCAGAGGGCATCTCTCCAGACTTAGCATTGCCTACCTGCCCAGATCTGCAGCCCCGAAATCTGTAATCTAATGTGGAATACATAATGCTCGTCGGCTACAAAAATTTATGCAGCATCATCAGCGCACTTAGTCGTAATCGCCGGCTCATTAGGACTGCTAATCAGCCAAAAAAAAGGCTGCTTCCTCACTAATTGCCGATCCTCAATCCAGCCCAGGACATGCCCTTTTTTATCCAAGGGCAATCTGATTGCCCATTTAGCATCGGCTGAGATGTTGGGATCGAAGATACAGGGTATTAGTTCTTAAGTAGCTGTAATTCGTTAGGTAATCTGCTATCAAGTCGCTCCAATTTACAATGAATACACAAGAATTATGGAACATTTTGAGGATAGATTAAGAATAGATTTGGAAAATGGAAATGATAAATAGTATTCTTGGGAAATCATCTGCATAATACTTTTATAAAATAATAATGTATGTAGATCAGTTTTTTAATGTACGCATTGCAAATTGCCTTACTGAACATTATAAATTGGTTGCACCTAAGTGTAAGTAATTGAGAATCAATATTGTCGCATTTCAGAACCCCTTTTCCCATGCAAGTTCAACTTGTCTGTGCTCTTCAACACTTTCAATTAATTTTGCTGTAGGAGCCATTCTTACAACCCCACCTCTTGTAACCGAAAGCCATTTAGGCCAAGTGTGAAATGACAAATTGAATCAAAGCCAAACTCAAACTCAAACTCATTGAAGACTGCACTTCATTGTAATTTCTAAATTAGCACATCAATCGGGGCTAGCGTGCGGGTGGCGTGGGGGGAGCTGGGGGCAGAAGACATCCTCCAGCTGCGAGTCCTCTCGCGGAATTCGCTCCGACCGAGAGATTCTCTCGGGACATGCGCATCGCTGGTGAAAGCTCATTGGATGTCCCGTCGATTCACTCACACTCAGAGGGCTGAAGCCAACGAGGTCATTATCGTGTTACCCCTCCACCAGCAGGCCATCCAACCACCCACCACACCCAGGCCACCCACTCCACCCGTGCCACCCATGCCACCCACTCCGCCCCCTCGACAGCAGCTGCGTGTAAACACATTGTGGCAATTCTCTCTGGTGCCATGACTGTGTTCACCTTTTAATAAGGTTAACTGCGTCGACGACAACAACCCACAAACACCCACTTTTCACAATAGAGCCAGGGGGCGGGGTGGGGGCACAAGTCGGGCGGGGGCGGTGTAGGGGGATAGATGCTGCTGGCAACATTTTTCTTAACCATTAAATCTAATATATCAAAGTAATAAAATGAATTTCGCTCGTTGTGTGGGTGCAAAGTAGCTGAATGGGTGGTAGAGGCGGGTATCTGTGTGTGTGCGTTCATTCTTACCCTTCACATAATCCAACTAAAAAGTTTTCGTCTACTTACAGTCTGCCTGCCATTGTCTACCGGATATTCTTTCCATTCCTCGGGGGCACGGCGAAAATGGAAGATGTCCTGGAGGTTGGAGGTTGCAGGTCTGGGCGGTTGGGGTTAAGGATGAACATGGGGTTAGTGGTGAGCTGATAGCTTTTCTTTCGGCTGGGATATTTAATTTTGAGTTCTAACTTGCCAACGTGGAAAGGGCGCAGTTCATACCTGCCACTGACAACATTTTCAAGCGCTTCGAGGGGGCGGAAAAACGATTGACTTTTGCAATTAGCAGGGGCATGGGATTCGTACTCGAAGGGATAGTGGCACAAAGGATTTCCGAGTCTCAATTAGCTGTATTATTAACTCAGTAAGCAAACTATAAGCTGGCTTCATCTCGATACCAACCTAAAATACATAAATTGGTATGACGTGCAAAGCAAATCTGGGTGAGTAGCTCACCCTTAAGATCTTAAGATTATGGTTATGATCAATTTATAAGCATTCATATCAGTGTTGCTATAAGTAATCAAAAAACTGAAGTGTGCACAACTGTGTATTACTTAAATGTCCTTAATCAATTTGATATATTTCCATCCGGGGCTGGCAGTTTTTCCAACTCCTTGGCCTGCAGATAGTTTGCAATAGTTTGAAGCGCGCCGTTGCTGCCTGGGAAAATGTAATATGCGGCGGCAAATGAGCCACTGCTGAGGTTGGCTAGCAACCGCAATTCAGCCAACACACACACACACACCCACACACAGATACAGATACAAATACAAGGCGGTACGGATACGGATACATTTGGGCACAGAGCAGACAGAGCCCCATCCCACGTAGTGGCTTGAATTATCCAATATCCTTGACTGTTTGTGGACGTAATCAAACAACTGCGAAAGGAGACGGGCCAAGGCTTGTTTGACATTTGGTTTCATAATCTAATATTGCAGGAGGGGGTGAATTGAGGCACTTGGGGCGACTCAAGCCGCATATATAAATATCTGCAGTTAAGTTTTATATGCCAGCGTTTTTGCGCTCGACATTATTGGCCACGTTTATTAGGTCCCGAGGCCAAAGATGGGATTTGAGCCGTACTTTCAGCGAAACCGGAAGACTTCCCGTCCATTCCTGGCACACTTTCCCAGATCCCCGGCTGATAACTCTTAAGTATTCCAAGTAAGGCATTCTATTTGGTCTACATATGCCATATTAGTGGTAAATTGACACTCTTTCTGGGCCAAATTAAAGCACATATGAAAAGGACATATGCACACAGGATTCTGGCAAATTTCTGGCCAAGATAAGCGGCTAAGGAGCTGCGCTGCTCACTTCAAACGACTTGGAACCGACCAAAGAGCTTCCCGATAATTATGCGGCTCGGCTTCTGTTCTATTCCGAGGTGCAGATCTGGCCACCTCCCTGCACATTCACATTCACACTCGCATTCACATGCATTCTTCAGGAGATGGGCAATCACATGTGGCCAAAAGACCAGAGGACCAGGGGGAATTCATTGGAAATTACCTGTCGCATTGTTGGGCACTTGAATTACATAAAAATTGGTCGGGCGAACAATGGGCGAGTGGCTACCGTTTTGGCCAGGACACTGAGGACACACAAAGGATAATGCTCACATATCCCTATATGAATATGCGAGGGTGTTTGCCACTATGCAAAACTGTAGCCAAACAAACAAATAGACTGACAAAAGTCTGACAACTGCCAAGTGGCTCTGGATGGGAATCTGTATCTGGGTATCTGAGCCTGAATCTCAATCCGAATCCGAATTCGAATCTCGGGCGACAACAATAAGGCGCTTGATATGTGGACGCATGGGCGTGGCCCGGGGGCGGCGGTCGGGCAAACAACAATTGTAATCACACACCTTTTGTGCCAACGTGTGCCCAAGAAAAACCCTTGAAAACATTCCCTCCATTTGAGTGTGAAAAAGAATGAAGTTTTTAGCAGTTTTATGGCTAGATTGGCAAATGAGGAACAATTGAGCCTC